TTATTTACAACTGTTGTGTAATAGTACAATTCACCTATCAGTCTCTGGTGATGGCCGGGAGCCGCGACCCCGCCGTCCGCGGACCCCGCCTTCCCTTCGCTTCCCAGCCCGGCGCGGCTCCCCGGGTCTCCGGTCTCCTTCTCCCCCTCCCCCTTTGTCCCTTCTCATTTCTTTTTCGATCTTGTAACCCCCCGAACACCCTTTATTGGGGGTGAGGGCGTCTCATTCGACGGTCTCCCATTTTTTTTTTTTTTTTTTCCCTCAAATGCTCGTCTTTCGCCCAGGATTTCCCTTCCTAAATTTAATTTGCGCCTGGCTCCCTCCCCCCAGCCTTCGCCTGCCAAACCTGGGAGATGGGGAGGGGTTCGGGAGTCGCGGAGTGCGTGTTGCTCGGAAACAGGTATTTACCCGTATATATGTAAAAATCTCGTACACTTTTATTACGGAACTCTAGTGTTTAATTAAAAAAGGAGGAAAAGTTGGAAAGATCGGAAATCTCTGCGGGTAATAAAGTGCTCTCGTAGTGGTAGGTGAAGGAGGAGCTCTGAAAGGTGAAATTTCCCCATGGGGGGGGCAAGAATTGATTAGATTTATATGGGGGGACAGCGAAAGACTGGGATAACTAACTTGTTTGGGGTGTGTAAACGGGGGAGGGGAGGGAATCGTTTGCAAAACCCCTTTCTCTCCTCCGTCTGTAGCAGCCTGTGTTGCATTGCAGCAGCCGCCTTCCCCGTCCTCTGTAATCAATAAAACAGAAGCTAAATTATTTTTTCAGCTCCAAAGAAGAATTGAACGTACTGTTGTAATCTGTTTTTTTTTTAATTGCTACGATGAAACATATGGTGTGACATTTTTCTTTCCTGTTTCTCCAATTGTGTAAGAGAATAAACCATGGTATGGTGTGTCATTCATTGGAGATTTTTTTTTTTCCAGCCTTTCCTAAGCCTGTTTTGTGTCCATAACCTTCTCTTTCGGATTGGTGCAAGACTTCGTGAGAAAGGGGACTTGGTAGACTGAAGGCTGATCTTTTCTGCGTTATCATCCTTATGGGCCTTCCTTTTGGGTTAAACAATTGTGGATAAAGTAAATTACTTCATTTCTGTGTCCTGGAAGAGATAGTCTTACAGTTCATTTGGATTTGAATCTCCTTTGTGTTAAAGATTAATGGCCAACCGTTGCCAAGACCTTTATGATGTGATACAATGAGATATGAATGATATAATCTCCAAATTCCTTTGTTTTGGCAAGAAAATGTCATGTCATTGGAATTCTTTCTCAATTTAAGTAGTTTCCACTTTAAACTTTAGTTTTCTTCTTTTTCCCTATCACAGTTGAACACTTGCCCATTTTTTAATGCCTTTTTTTGGTGATATAACTGTTGTACTTCAGTTTACTGTGAATTTGAATGAATGTTTTTCTCTGGTTCCTAGTTACAGACCTTTACTGTGATGGCCTTAAAAATGGTTTAACACTGTATCTGTTTAATGCTGTATCTGTTTAACACTGTCTGTAAGTGACCCCTTTTCCTTTATGATTTCACGCAAGTTACTTTCAAATGTAATGAATCAGTTTAAGATACGATGGCATGCAAACCAAAAAACATAATCTTCGTAAGAGTGACTTGAAAAAAACTCGAGCCATGGGGTGAACTTTTTTTTTTTTTTTAATCAAGTTCCTAATGTCCTTGTAAACTCAGGAACTATAATCAAATATATGTAATGTTGTATCTTGTAATACTATATATTATTGATTTCTCCTTTAAAGATTTAATACTGTAGGGTTCTTATAGACCAGAAATTATCATTTTTCCCCCAAAACTTTGGGTAAACTTATCTTAACGTAGAGCAATGTAAAACAGTGAAACTGAGAAATTTTTAAATGATCATAGTTTTCCGATTCAGAGGTTGTGAACCAATTAAAAAAAAGTTAACATTTTGGATATTGAGCAAAGTTTGATCACTCATGTCTCGTTGTCAGTCTGTCACAGGTAAATGATGTCTTCACTTAAAAGTTCCTTTTCTGATGAAAAGTATTTTGTACTTTTAAAAGCTCTTTTCCTGCTCTGTTACTTATTAAATGTAGAGAGGGGGGAATCACATGATGCTTTCCAGTAGCATAAATATAGAATGTGGTACACAGATCTGAAAAGTTTGTTCAGGCAGCCTACAAAGTAGTTCTTTGTAGGCTAATTCTGAATAATTTAAGAGCAGAAAGGAGGATCAGCTTTTCACTTTGGAAGGCATTGGATTATTAGGTGGTTTGTGCATCTCGTGTATACACATTTCCTTAGATACCTGTAAAAGTAGGATGTCTGATTTGGGGGGTAAAAGGTTCTTGTGCTAGTTGCACAAAGCTTTGGAATATTTTGGTGCTTAAGATAGGGCTTTTCGGGTTATATTAATATTTGACTTAGTCTCAATGATGCTTTCAAGTACTGTAGGACAAAAATGTTATACTATTAAGTCAGGTTTTTTTTTTTTAGTTTTATTTTAAGGAGCCGTTCTGATGTTTTAAAGGCCATCCAGAAATAGGAATGCCTGGGTAGAAATTTCCACTTAAATTGGTCAGAATTCTGGAGAGGATATGATAAATATGTTGCTGTTTAAGAATTTGTGGTAAGATATCTCAGATGACTTTAATTTTAGGAATAGCATGCCTACTGTGATATAATGTAATAATCCCTATATAAAAGAGAACTGAGTAATACTTTACATTCCAGAAACAATCTTAAAGGCATTCTACATGCGTTAAAAGCTGTATATAGAATTACTTTATTTAAAGTAATACTTAATACTTTAATACTTTATTTAAAGATGAGAATTTAAAAAATGAGGTGTATTTCTTACACAAAACAGTGAGGGGGTTGAGACCCCCGCAAACTGATACTTTTACTGTAACATCCAACTTTTTGGTTCTAATTTTTCATTTTTGTAATGTTTCAGAAGTATAAGATGGTTTGTAATTGAGGTAGGTCTATATATGTAATATTAATATAGTGTATGCCTTTTAAATGATTACTTTTTTTATTAAGTGGTTAGTTCCTCAAGGTTTTTTTTTTTTTAAATGGAGGAGGAGCTTGTCTGATCTAAAATAGTTGCATGTAGCCTAGTGGCTAAGAAGAGCTCAGAAGATTTTGAATTGACATTTTTGGATCCATATTAAATAGTTCAGGCTTCCACTCACTACTCTGACTTTCTCATGTAAAAAAGTGTAGTAGAATTGTGAAGATTCATCCAAGACGGTTACTGGTTGGATGACCTTGAGCTAATCACATTATTTCACTGATTCATATTTCAAAATAGGTAACGGGGATAATTATTTACTGGGTAGTGAGGGTCAGATAATAATAGAAGAGAAAATTCTTTGTATATTTCTAAGCATTATATAATTATGTCACTTCTATTGTTTTGATGCCTAATTATATAAAACTTTTGCGTAGTTTACTTCACCTTTCTGGGCCTTATCTAGTTCAAGGATGGCGAGTAGGTTACATTTTGTTTACCTTTTCCAGTTGGTAGTGGCTGCCTGTGCTGATGGACATAATAGATACATTTCTGGGCTTGGCGGGAAAGAATTTAGTGTTCAACTGGCACATGGGTCCCAGAGAGTGACAGTGGAGAGTGTTTCCTGGAATGCTACTTATTTACCCATCCGTGGTCTAGTCCAGCCTTCTCATTTTATAGGTGAGGAAATTGATCATTACCGTTTCCTTCCTTGTGTCTATTTAGAATCTTTGGACTACTTCTTGTGATTTTGTTACCTTTATTTATGGTAGTGATAAATGTAATTTACACTTTAGAGTGCGGTACAATCAAGGCTCAGAAGATCCAGCTTTTATATGCTGACTTTTGTTAATTGAGCAAACTGGTAAAAATGGGGATAATTCTGTTATTTCACAGGATGGTTGTGTTAAGTGAGATATAGTAGTCTCTCTGTTCCCATGTTTTCTTTTATACTTGTAGCTGTTGGATGTGTGACTTTCCCACAAGGTTTATTTTAGGGGCAAGAGCCAAGTTTGTATTTTTTAAAGAATATCATTCCCTTGTATGTAGGCATTGTTTTGCATTGTAAGTATTTACTAAATGAGTAAGTATTAAGTGAATGTGGATTAATGGAGACAATTTAGTGAAGTTTATACATTATTCAAGGTTTAGGATACCTCAGTCCAGTTGGAATAAGCAAAATAACTAGGCAGGTCCCATTTGGCTGGTGTAGAAAAATTACATACTGGACTGATAGTTTTGGTTACATATTCTACACACAGCTTAAATTTGGGGTGATTGTATAAGTTGTAGAACACCCAGTCTTTATCATAAGTGTAAGGATTTGGAAAAATGCAATTTCAATTTGTATGTGCTTGCAGGGAGGAAAAGGATATTTAAACTCTGCCGATGCCACCTTTCCTTTCTTTGAAATTGATGGACGAAATTGAGTGGAAGTAAAAGTCAAAATAATCTGAGCTGAGGCTGTACTCTGTGGGTACTGTCCTAAATAAGGGCTTACAAAGTTTTCTGGAATACAAAGCGAGAAAGGAATTCCTTGTCAGACCTTCTGGGAAGAAGTAGTCTCTGAGTTATCTACCTCCCAGCTATTCCTTTGTGTTCCTGTGCATGCTGCATATTTTTGGCTATAGTATTTTTTACATTTGTTTTTATAATTACCCGGATCTGTCTGTCCCTCTTTATTTGCAAGCTCCTTGAGGGTAGGGACTGCATTTTTATATTCATTGTACCAGCAGAGTATTTGGCAAATAGTGGGTGCTCATATAATTTTTGACTTTGACTGGAGTGTTCTTTTTTAGAATCTACTAACAACAGCACCCACCATTTTTAGAGCACCTGTAAGGTTCTGGAAGCTGTATTATGTACTGTGGGGTGTAACATAGTATTTGGCCTATAGTAAATGTGAATAAAGTTATCTAATTCAACCATACAGACAAAAACCAGCATCCCGACCACAGGAATAGGTATAGAATTTGTTTCTAACTCAAACACAAAGCTCAGAGGTGACCAAAAGGAGTCACATTCAGGTTTGTGTGACTCCAAATTCCTTTGAAGGATACCACGTTTCCTTGACTTTCTCATTAAACCCTGAATTAATAGAAGGGCCATCCAGTGTTTTAGTCTCTCTGATCATGAGACTTGTGAATATATTTGAGCGGTAAGTATATACGTGTCTATTGCTTTAGCTTATTTCTACTCCATTTAATTCTTGCTTTGTTTTGAGTCTTATCAGTGCTTAAAATGCCAATACTTTCCCCCCTGTATTTTGCTGCTATAAGTAAAGCTGCTATAAATGTTTAAAAATATAGGATAGTGTGTGATATTTATGAAGGAAAATGTCTTAGTCAGCTCCGGGAGCCATAACAAAATACCATAGATCGGGTGGCTTAAACCCCAG